GACTACAGCATTTCATGTTGACTGTGGTGGTATCTTGCTATGAATACAGCATTGCATGCTGACTGTGGTGGTATCCTGCTATGACTACATCATTGCATGCTGACTGGTGGTATCCTGCTATGACTACATCATTGCATGCTGACTGTGGTGGTATCCTGCTATGACTACAGCATTGCATGCTGACTTTGGTGGTATCCCATCTCCCTCCCACTCTCCCATCTCCCTCCCACTCTCCCTCCCACTCTCCCATCTCCCTCCCATCTCCCTCCCACTCTCCCATCTCCCTCCCACGCTCCCATCTCCCTCCAACTCTCCCATCCCCCTCCCACTCTCCCTCCCATCTCCCTCCCATCTCCCTCCCACTCTCCATCTCCCTCCCATCTCCCTCCCATCTCCCTCCCATCCCCCTTCCACTCTCCCTCCCACTCTCCCTCCCATCCCCCTCCCACTCTCCCTCCCACCCCCCTCCCACTCTCCCTCCCACTCTCCCTCCCATCTCCCTCCCACTCTCCCTCCCATCCCCCTCCCACTCTCCCATCTCCCTCCCACTCTTCCATCTCCCTCCCATCTCCCTCCCACTCTTCCATCTCCCTCCCACTCTCCCTCCCATCTCCCTCCCATCTCCCTCCCATCTCCCTCCCACTCTCCCATCTCCCTCCCACTCTCCTCCCACTCTTTCTCCCATCCCCCTCCCATCTCCCTCCCACTCTCCCTCCACTCTCCCTCCCATCCCCCTCCCATCTCCCTCCCACTCTCCCACCTCCCTCCCACTCTCCCTCCCATCTCCCTCCCACTCTCCCATCTCCCTCCCATCTCCCTCCCACTCATCCATCTCCCTCCCACTCTCCCTCCCATCTCCCTCCCACTTTCCATCTCCCTCCCACTCTCCCTCCCATCCCCCTCCCACTCTCCCTCCCACTCTCCCATCCCCCCTCCCACTCTCCCTCCCATCTCCCTCCCACTCTCCCTCCCACTCTCCCTCCCATCTCCCTCCCATCTCCCTCCCATCTCCCTCCCACTCTCCCATCCCCCTCCCACTCTCCCTCCCACTCTCCCTCCCACTCTCCCTCCCACTCTCCCTCCCATCTTCCTCCCACTCTCCCTCCCATCTCCCTCCCACTCTCCCTCCCATCCCCCTCCCACTCTCCCTCCCATCCCCCTCCCACTCTCCCATCTCCCTCCCACTCTCCCACTCTCCCTCCCATCTCCCTCCCACTCTCCCATCTCCCTCCCATCTCCATCCCACTCTCCCATCTCCCTCCCACTCTCCCTCCCATCTCCCTCCCACTCTCCCATATCCCTCCCACTCTCCCTCCCATATCCCTCCCACTCTCCCTCCCATCTCCCTCCCACTCTCCCATCTCCCTCCCACTCTCCCTCCCATCTCCCTCCCATCTCCCTCCCACTCTTCCATCCCCCTCCCACTCTCCCTCCCATCTCCCTCCCACTCTCCCTCCCATCTCCCTCCCACTCTCCCTCCCATCTCCCTCCCACTCTCCCTCCCATCTCCCTCCCACTCTCCCACTCTCCCTCCCACTCTCCTTCCCATCTCCCTCCCACTCTCCCATCTCCCTCCCACTCTCCCTCCCACTCTGCTTCCCATCCCCCTCCCATCTGCCTCCCACTCTCCCATCTCCCTCCCACTCTCCCATCTCCCTCCCACTCTTCCATCTCCCTCCCACTCTCCCTCCCATCTCCCTCCCACTCTCCCTCCCATCTCCCTCCCACTCTCCCTCCCACTCTCCCTTCCATCTCCCTCCCATTTCCCTCCCACTCTCCCTCCCACTCTCCCTCCCATCTCCCTCACATCTCCCTCCCACTCTCCCTCCCATCTCCCTCCCATCTCCCTCCCACTCTCCCATCTCCCTCCCACTCTCCTTCCCATCCCCCTCCCATCTCCCTCCCACTCTCCCATCTCCCTCCCACTCTCCCATCTCCCTCCCATCTCCCTCCCACTCTCCCATCTCCCTCCCATCTCCCTCCCATCTCCCTCCCACTCTCCCATCTCCCTCCCATCTCCATCCCACTCTCCCATCTCCCTCCCACTCTTCCATCTCCCTCCCACTCTCCCATCTCCCTCCCACTCTCCCTCCCATCTCCCTCCCACTCTCCCTCCCATTCCCCTCCCACTCTCCCTCCCACTCTCTCTCCCACTCTCCCTCCCATCTCCCTCCCACTCTCCCTCCCATCTCCCTCCCATTTCCCTCCCACTCTCCCTCCCAAACCCCTCCCACTCTCCCTCCCATCTCCCTCCCATCTCCCTCCCACTCTCCCTCCCATCTCCCTCCCATCTCCCTCCCACACTCCCATCTCCCTCCCACTCTCCCATCTCTCACCCACTCTCCTTCCCATCCCCCTCCCATCTCCCTCCCACTCTCCCACCTCCCTCCCACTCTCCCTCTCATCTCCCTCCCATCTCCCTCCCACTCTCCTTCCCACTCTCCCTCCCACCCTCCCACTCTCCCTCCCACTTTCCCTCCCATCTCCCTCCCACTCTCCCTCCCATCCCCCTCCCACTCTCCCTCCCATCTCCCTCCTACTCTCCCATCTCCCTCCCATCTCCCTCCCACTCTCCCTCCCATCCCCCTCCCACTCTCCATCCCACTCTCCCATCTCCCTCCCACTCTCCCATCTCCCTCCCACTCTCCTTCCCACTCTCCCTCCCACCCTCCCACTCTCCCTCCCACTTTCCCTCCCATCTCCCTCCCACTCTCCCTCCCATCCCCCTCCCACTCTCCCTCCCATCTCCCTCCCACTCTCCCATCTCCCTCCCATCTGCCTCCCACTCTCCCTCCCATCCCCCTCCCACTCTCCCTCCCACTCTCCCATCTCCCTCCCATCTCCCTCCCACTCTCCCATCTCCCTCCCATCTCCATCCCACTCTCCCATCTCCCTCCCACTCTTCCATCTCCCTCCCATCCCCCTCCCACTCTCCCTCCCATCTCCCTCCCACTCTCCCTCCCATCCCCCTCCCACTCTCCCTCCCATCTCCCTCCCACTCTCCCTCCCATCTCCCTCCCACTCTCCCATCTCCCTCCCACTCTCCCTCCCATCTCCCTCCCACTCTCCCATCTCCCTCCCACTCTCCCTCCCATCTCCCTCCCACTCTTCCATCTCCCTCCCACTCTCCCTCCCATCTCCCTCCCATCTCCCTCCCACTCTCCCTCCCATCTCCCTCCCACTCTCCCATCTCCCTCCCACTCTCCCTCACATCTCCCTCCCATCTCCCTCCCACTCTCCCACCTCCGTCCCACTCTCCCTCCCATCTCCCTCCCACTCTCCCTCCCACTCTCCCTCCCATCTCCCTCCCATCTCCCTCCCACTCTCCCATCTCCCTCCCACTCTCCCTCCCATCTCCCTCCCACTCTCCCTCCCATCTCCCTCCCACTCTTCTATCTCCTCCCACTCTCCCTCCCATCTCCCTCCCATCTCCCTCCCACTCTCTCTCCCATCTCCCTGCCACTCTCCCTCCCATCTCCCTCCCACCTCCCTCCCACTCTCCCTCCCATCTCCCTCCCACTCTCCCATCTCCCTCCCACTCTCCCTCACATCTCCCTCCCATCTCCCTCCCACTCTCCCACCTCCCTCCCACTCTCCCTCCCATCTCCCTCCCACTCTCCCATCTCCCTCCCACTCTCCCTCACATCTCCCTCCCATCTCCCTCCCACTCTCCCATCTCCCTCCCACTCTCCCTCCCATCCACCTCCCACTCTCCCTCCCACTCTCCCTCCCATCCCCCTCCCACTCTCCCTCCCATCTCCCTCCCACCTCCCTCCCACTCTCCCTCCCATCTCCCTCCCACTCTCCCTCCCATCTCCCTCCCACTCTTCCATCTCCCTCCCACTCTCCTCCCATCTCCCTCCCACTCTCTCCCATCTCCCTCCCACTCTCCCTCCCATCTCCCTCCCACTCTCCCTCCCATCTCCCTCCCACTCTCCCATCTCCCTCCCACTCTCCCTCACATCTCCCTCCCATCTCCCTCCCACTCTCCCACCTCCGTCCCACTCTCCCTCCCATCTCCCTCCCACCTCCCTCCCACTCTCCCTCCCATCTCCCTCCCATCTCCCTCCCACTCTTCCATCTCCCTCCCACTCTCCCTCCCATCTCCCTCCCATCTCCCTCCCACTCTCTCTCCCATCTCCCTCCCACTCTCCCTCCCATCTCCCTCCCACTCTCCCTCCCATCTCCCTCCCACTCTCCCATCTCCCTCCCACTCTCCCTCACATCTCCCTCCCATCTCCCTTCCACTCTCCCACCTCCGTCCCACTCTCCCTCCCATCTCCCTCCCACTCTCCCTCCTATCTCTCTCCCACTCTCCCTCACATCTCCCTCCCATCTCCCTCCCACTCTCCCATCTCCCTCCCATCTCCATCCCACTCTCCCACCTCCCTCCCACTCTCCCTCCCATCCCCCTCCCACTCTCCCATCTCCCTCCCACTCTCCCTCACATCTCCCTCCCACTCTCCCATCTCCCTCCCATCTCCCTCCCACTTTCCCTCCCACTCTCCCTCCCATCTCCCTCCCACTCTCCCTCCTATCTCTCTCCCACTCTCCCTCACATCTCCCTCCCATCTCCCTCCCACTCTCCCATCTCCCTCCCATCTCCATCCCACTCTCCCATCTCCCTCCCACTCTCCCTCCCATCCCCCTCCCACTCTCCCATCTCCCTCCCACTCTCCCTCACATCTCCCTCCCACTCTCCCATCTCCCTCCCATCTCCCTCCCACTTTCCCTCCCACTCTCCCTCCCATCCCCCTCCCACTCTCCCTCCCATCCCCCTCCCACTCTCCCTCCCACTCTTTCATCATCGGCTCCCTCCCTCTCTGCGGCATCCCCCCCCCCTCCCCCGCGCCTCTCCGCTCCCAGCAGCAGCTGTCGCCTTGCGGCAAATCGCGCGCCGCTGTCCCGCGCGTTAATTTGCATAATTAATGCAGGAAAAGGGGCGGGGGCTACGGAGATGCAGGGGAGAGGGGGCGGGGCCTGGACACATGGGCGGTCGACGTCACGCCGGGTGATGCAGACCTGGGTTTGGTGCCGAGCCGGGCGGTAACGCGGAGCAGCAGCAGCAGGAGGAGGAGGGAGAAGAGGGCGAAGAGGCGCTGGAGAAGATACAAAAAAAACATCAGGAGGAGGAGGAGGGAGAAGAGGCGCTGGAGGAGATAAAACATCAGCAGCATCAGGAGGAGGAGGGAGATGCCGTCTCGCTCTCTGCCCACGCGTCCCGCCCGGAGAAATTTCCATTGCCGGACGCGGGGAGAGTGAGGTGGGAGGGCGACTCTCCTAGGCGACTCTCCTAGGCGACTCTCCTCGTTGCCTCTGCATCCTCCCATGCGTCTCCATCCTCCCTCCTTCTGCGGGGAGCAGGAGGAGGACGAGGCGAGTCCTTCGCTCTCGCTCCTCCATCGATCTCGTCCACCCCCCTCCCCCCCCCCCTCGACAACTCCTCCACCCACGTTCCTCTGATCTCTGACTCCTCCACCCTGCCATCTCGTCCACCTTCTCGCCTCCTCCGCCTCGCCCTCTAACCTCCGGCCTCCTCCTCGACTCATCTCGAGATCTCTCGGCCGAGTCGAGACCATGGGCACCTCCCTCTCGCTGTCCCCCTCGGGACCCGGCAAGGGGGTCCACGCGAAGCACGGCGGCGGGGTTCCCAAGGGGATCCCAGCGGCTCCCCAGCTCGGCAAGAAGCCCAAGGAGAAGTCCCTGAAGCGCCACTCCATCTTCACGCCGGGCCAAGCCTGGAAGACGCTGGTCGCCGCCTCCACGCGCAAGAAGAACGCCAAGAAGGCGAACCCGGCCGCGAACCCGTGCGGCGTGGGCGTCAACAACAACGAGAACGGAGGAGCGCCGCGCCATAACAACTCCATGCGGATTGCCAACCACCACCAACACCACCACCAACAACAGCAGCAGCAGCAGCCGCACAACCATCTCGTGCGACTGCCCCTGCCGCCACCGCCCTTGTCGGCATCATCCCTGCCCGCCTCGGCGACCGCGCTGCCCTCCTCCAAGAAGGGCAGCGGGCCCGGCGGCTTGCCCTCCGTGGGGTCATTGCCCATCTCGGGCACGCCGCGTCGTGTCGTCGTGCAGGCGTCCACGGCGGAGCTGCTGCGGTGCCTGGGCGAGTTCCTCTGCCGCCGCTGCTACCGCCTCAAGCAGCTGTCGCCCGCCGAGCCGAGCCTCTGGCTCCGCGCGGTGGATCGCGCTCTGCTGCTGCAGGGCTGGCAGGAGCAGTGCTTCATCACGCCCTCGAACGTCGTCTTCCTCTACCTGCTCTGCCGCGACTCGGTGGCCGACTCGCTGGCCACCGAGTCGGAGCTGCGCTCGACGCTGCTCACCTGCCTCTACCTCTCCTACTCGTACATGGGCAGCGAGATCTCCTACCCGCTCAAGCCGTTCCTCGGCGAGGGCAGCGGCGGGAGGCGCGACGACTTCTGGGAGCGGTGCCTCGGGGTCATCGCCAGGTGCAGCGCGCAGATGCTGCGCCTCAACTCGGACCCGCACTTCTTCACGCAGCTCTTCGCCGAGTTGAAGGCCGAGGGGAGTCGCTCGGATGGCCTCGCCGCGCCCTGGACGTTGGTCCTGGATCGGTAGCTCCGCTCTCGCGCTCTCGCACGCTGTCTCTCTCGCTCTCCTCTCTCGCTGTCTCTCTCGCACGCTGTCTCCTCTCTCTCTGTCGCACGCTGTCTCGTCTCTCTCCTCTCTCTCGCTCTCGCACGCTGCCTCCTCTTCTCCTCTCCTCTCTCTATCGCACGCTGTATCCTCTCTCTCCTCTCGTGCGCTGTCTCTCTCCTCTCGCGCGCTGTCTCTCTCCTCTCGCGCGCTCTCTCCTCTCGCACGCTCTCTCCTCTCGCACGCTGTCTCCTCTCTCTCCTCTCGCACGCTGTCTCTCTCCTCTCGCTCTCGCACGCTGCCTCCTCTTCTCCTCTCTCTCTGTCGCACGCTGTCTCGTCTCTCTCCTCTCTCTGTCGCACGCTGTCTCGTCTCTCTCCTCTCTCTGTCGCACGCTGTCTCGTCTCTCTCCTCTCGCACGCTGTCTCTGTCCTCTCTCGCACGCTGTCTCTCTCCTCTCTCTCTCGCACGCTGTCTCTCTCACACGCTGTCTCTCACACGCTGTCTCTCTGTCGCACGTTGTCTCTCTCCCACTCTCTTGCTCGCTTCTCTCTCTCCCCCACTCGATCGCTCGCTCTCTCCTCGCAGCGATGGGAGTTCTTGCGCTGCTGAATGTAGAGAGATGGCGAGAAAAAGGGGGAGATCGGAGGGCAGACGAGGGGCGATTAGGGTTTGGGTAACCCCCCCCCCCCAATCCTCTCCCTCTTCATCTCCCACCGCCACGCCACCATCACCAACCACCACCAACCCCGACCAGTGACCCCGTTGCTACGCGAGCAGCTCAGAGGGGTTGCCAACGTTGGGGGGAGGGGGTGGGGAAATGTCCCAGAGGCCTCGAGTGCACGGTCTCAACATCGAGGGCCCGGCGCCCACGATGTGTTGGAGATACTGGGGTCCTCAAGTGTGATGACTTCAACAATTCGCAAGGGGCCCCCTGAAGCTGTGGAAGGGCCTGCTGCATCTGACGCCCTGAAATCATCAAACCCCCAGGCCTCAGAAGTCGAAGAGCCATCATAGGAGTTTGCTGGAGTCCTGGTGTGGGCATGGAGTGTTCAAGTCCTGGGCCTGCTCGATCTTTCGAGTCCTGCAGCACTTGAGTTCCTGGTTCCTTGAAGTGCAGGGTACCCCCTGGCTGCGTGACTGAGACGAGATGCACGCTGCCTGCCGGATTCGCGTAATTCACTCACGCATTCACTCACTAATGCAGTCCGGCTGGCTCTGATTCACTCATTAAATATGTGATTCACTCATTCTCACGTTAACTCATTCATTCACTCATTCATCCGTTAACTCATTCATTCACTTAATCTACCCTTCACTCACTCATTCCATCATTCATTCATACGTCTCATTTACCCATTTATTCACCAAAATTGTCTCATTCACGAAATAAATAACTCCAAAGTTCTTACACCCGTTAATTTATTAAATAAACAAACCCCTCGGTGATTCATTTAATCATTAAATGTATCATGTATTCACAAATGTACGTATTTATTCATTGATTTAATCATTCCCTCAATCATCACTCATTCAATCACACTCTCTCACACCATCACTCATTTACTCACTTCTTCAGAGCGTTTAAGAACCAAGCGTGAGTTTGCGTATTTAAACACATCACATGTAAATACGTGCAGTATACAATTATATACTGTATGCACTTATAACCTGCATTTCTGCGTGAATGCCACGGCTAACATAAGTGGCGTGAGATATCTGAGCCGGTTCAGGTCCACTTCGTCAACCTGCAAGTGACCAGTGTGGTGAAGTATGGTCAAACAAGCCGCACGACCAATATGGCGCGGAGGAGGCCTTCATTTAGCAGTGGATCGATCAAGGGTATGTGTAAATTATTATAATATTTAAGGTTATTGTGAAGGATAGTGGTAGTTGGACAGCTATCCAAAAATCAATATTCCGTCTAGCTTCGAGTCGCTACAGTCCTCCCGTAATGATCATCGTGTTGTGGTTTCCACTTAAACGACGCTCCTCAGCATTGTGTAGCCACTGCTTGTAAGAGCCTGTATGTATGCATGTAGCCCGGGAAAAAAAAATGCTTCTCCAACCGTCTTCGATTATTGCGCATCTCATCAGCAGCATCAGAATCATCATCATCATCACCGTCATCCCTCTCCTCCATGTCGCGTGTGGTGGGGTCAAGCGTAGGTGATCCCACCTCTATCCAAAGGCGTATGCGGACTGCGAAAGAGTAGGCCAAGTTACCAGTTAAGAAGAGGGTGTCTAGAGCGGCCTCTTGTGGAGCGAGACGTTGCAGGGGCATGCCCCCTATGGTGTGGGAGAGGATCTCTGCCCGAACCGACAGCCCGCCATGGGAATGTGGAATTTCCACCACTGGCTCCGTGGTCCCTCGGCTGCTCCCACGCGCAGGGGCATCATCTGAGCGAGATCTTTTTAACTTCAACAACAAATAATTCTCACCCGGCACACCACATCTAGTAGTTTATAGGTTTTCCCTCATTGATTGCGGCCGCGAGTCACCAGCGAGCCGGAAAACCTTTGGTGAGGAAATTCAATACCCACCGCTTTACCCCACAGCGTGGAAGAGTAGGCCAAGTACCCTGTGGAGTTGGGGGGGGGGGGTGCTTCAGTCCACTCTCTCGTAGGGGACCGTACAGCCGGCAGTGGCCGCGAGCCAGCGAGTGCACGGGCCGCACGCGCTTTAACCTCGGCCGCACACGGACCCGGAATAATAAAAATTGATGTTCTACTTTCACGGGAGACGGTCTGCCGCAGCGCTTCAGTGACGTCGCCGAGATGTGACCCGCAACACGCAGACCCCCCCACCCACAACCCCACCCCACCCACCCCCACCCCACCTACCCCCCACCCCACTCACCGCCACCACCCCACCGCCCACCTACCCCCACCCACCCCACACCCCCACCCAACAACACCCCACCCACCCCCACCCAACACACCCCACACCCCCACCCACCCCACACCCCCACCCCAAGAACACCCCACCCACCCCACACCCCCACCCACCCCACCCACCCCACACCCCCACCCCAACAACACCCCACCCACCCCACACACCCCCACCCCACACACCCCCACCCACCCCCACCCACCCCACACCCCCACCCAAACAACACCCCACCCCCACCCACTCCACACCCCCACCCAAACAACACCCCACCCACCCCACACACCCCCACCCCACACACCCCCGCGGCGGCGGGGGATCGAGCGACCTTCCGCCCGGCATCGCGCTCATTACCGCTAATTGGCAGCGATGTCGGCTCCGGCGTTAATGAGTTGACGGGGAACTGAGCTCCATCGGGCGAGTTCGTCTGTGCGGACGTGCACGCGTGGGGGTGTCCCGTGACGATGATCTGAACCCGTGGTGGGTCTTCCCCTAGGTCGACTCGGCCTGAAACGAGTAGCCGGTGCGGTGTGTAAACATCGGCACTGGGGGAGACAAAGGCGGCCGGGCGTGGGGCTGGCCACCCCGACGCCCTTCGTGCGCCGTGACGGCCTTCATAGGTGCTGGCAAGTCCCAACTGTCTTTTCGAGGCCACCTTTTGTAAAGCCAGAGGTCAGCGTTGTCCTGCTCTGATGCACATTGTGGGGGCGGTGCTAGTTTTCCGTTTACAGCTCTCGAGCCATTGGTGGAAATTCCACGTTCGTATGGCGGGGGTGAATTTATACAGATGGCAGGAACCGCTGGTTGACTTCTCCACAAAGTGGAATGATTCCCCCCCCCTCCCGCTCCCGTCCCGCTCCCCTTCCCAGGCAGGGATTTGAATTCACAACCATGGCTGACCGATTAAATAATGCAAAAAAAAACCGGTTCAATTAAACACCGGATCAATTACAAACCGGTTCAAACAGAACCGCTGTTCAATCGGAGCCGTCGGTACGTCCTGCGTCTGTGTATATATATCCATCACACACGCGCGCGCGCACGGGAGTGTGTGTGTGTGTGTTTCATCTCACACTGTGTCATTATACTGTTAATAATAACGCTTAATTGATTCCCCATGCTCGCTTAACTCATGCCCCCACCCACCCCCGCTATTTATTGTGACTTGAACACCCATCCTGAATCCTGACTCTCCCGCCCCAACGGTGACCTCGACCATGAGCATAACCCTAACACCAATGCCTAACCTGAACCTGACGCTAACGCGGGCCCTATCCGTAACCTTGACCCGAACACCTACGGCCAAACCTGACGCTAACCCCAACTGTGACCTTAACCATAGCCCTGAACCTATCCCTGACCCGAACAACAACCGTGACCCTGAGCCTGATCCTCACCCTAGCCGTGACACATTATCCTGACACCCCCCCCCCACCAAACTCTGATAGGCTGGGCTCTATGAGCCGTGATGTCGGGTGGTGATGTTGCGATGATGTTGATGTTCGTGGAGGCGATGTCGGGTGATGCGTTCCGGCGAATGTGTTCCGGTGATGTTGGACGATGGCTTCGGGTGGACGTGACGAATACGCTGTGACGGCGCGGCGTTATAAAGAACCACTCTCGACTGCCCGCCTCCGTGTCCCAGTTCATTGGTTCCATCGACCGCGCAGGGACATCGCATCGCATCCACGCCGCGGATGGGCGCACAACCACCGGGAGAGCGGTGGCGCCGCGGTTAGCGCCACCGCGCCAACGAAGGCGCTCGTGAAATGTTTCAGAGTCCACGTTTGCTGGGTCCACTCCGCCTTGCATGAGTGCCTGTTTAAAGTGTGTGTGTGTGTGACCTTCACCACAGGAGAGATATAAAGGCGGCCGGGCCGTGGGTCTCCGTAGGCTCGGTGGGCTTGCTCGGGGGCACTTGGTCCAACTGTTGGGGGCTACACGGGTGAGCTTAGTTATATATATATTTTTAAAAAAAATCTCTCTATATCTGAGCTATATTCTGCGCGGGAGCGTGAGCGAGTGAGCGAGAGCGTGAGTCGGGGCTTGTGAGTCACGGAGCCCCGAGGCCGCGATACAGAAACCCTGCGTCGCTGCGTCAACCCGAGTTGAAATTCCCACCCGCAGTGGCGGCGATTACCTCGCCGCGACCCCGGTTCGCGTCGCTCCCTCTCAGCCGCGTGCCGATGGAAACGCAGCCAGCTGGCGCGCGCGCGCACG